CAAATTGAAAACTGCCGACGAAAGAAATTAACAAGCTTATCCACGGAATGGTATCGTTTTACTCAACGCCCTGCCGCCATGTGGCCTGTGCGGTTCCCGTCACAATGCGCGGGCGGAAACGCCCTCAACCCGTTCATGTCACTACATAAAGCGTTTATCATCCAAAAATTGCCTTAATTGGGCCCAAATGGCGGCCTAATTGCAGCCGTTGCGTATTGAAACGAAAACGCTTCATTGGTTTTTTGTGCGAACGCACTAAATCGACGGAACCCATTGCTAGGTTCTTCACGATTGGTACTTCCCAAGGTTGAGAATGGTTAAAGACTAGCCGATATTCGCTACTTCGGCTCCGTTTTTTATAATATTTACAATGCGGGGGAAGCCAAAACTTACTTTGCTTCAAAAAAATTTGGTTAATTTATAAAAAACTATAAAAACGATAACTTAAAAAACTTATAAAAATAGTTGTTTCTTAAAAACTTAGTTTTTGGATAAGGGCTAAGTGTGTAAGAAATAAAAGTTAGAAGCATTGATTGAAATTCATACAGTGTTCAGACCTCTACCATGCTTTGATGGGCAATATGTATTTTTTTATGCGTGGGAAGGTGGCAACAAGTCGAAAAATAAGTTAAGTAATGGGATATATACAATGTGAGTAATGTGTTAGGGCTACTGCTAGCTACTGCTTACCATTTGACAGCTGATTAGTTAACTTCTACGATGATCAGTGTTTCAGAAACCGGGCGTTAGTAACGTTAAACATCTAAACATTCACGGAATACGAAATAGCACTTAAACACGAGCGGAAGCAATCACTAAGCACTTACTTGGATTTACTTTTAGCCGTATTTTTTAAATCTGCCAACACTCAATAGTTTTATCACACGAAATACGTTACGATCGATGATGCGTTATAGAAATGCTCTCGATACAAGAGTCGGGGTCCTTTAGAACACCCCGCTGCTCTTTACAACACCCCATACCTCAATGTTTTTAAACGTTGGGCCGACGTGGGACGGGTGAAGTGGCCTTTACAAAAGTTGCCAAGAGGCAAAGACCGTGTGTAACTTCGTAATTGGTCACTTCAATTTAAGAGAACCTTTCCGGTTATACCATAGAGTATTGAACGTCTAGAAGTAATAATGAAATAAATAATTATTACACGTAATAAACAACTAGTTTTAATCAGCCAGTCTCTGTTCGTAGGAGTTTAATTTTTTTGCCAAGTTTTACGGTTACAACTCTCCACTGCATCCATGGCCACGGGATGGTTCAAGAGTTACCGGTTTCAGTTTCTGAAGCAGAACTATCGTTAGCTTTCTCGATTATATTTTTAATAATATAGGGTTAGTGATTGATGGCTCCCTATAGTGATGAGGAGATGAGATAAAACTACGCTATTATTATATATAATATTTATAATGTACTAGAATTAATAAATGTACTAGATATGCACATGACAGTGAGTGATAAAAATCGTTTATTTCTCACCACAAACCATGTACAAAACCTAATCTCGCGCGTGAACGCAGCGTTGTTGCGACTTTTATAATGATTTCTGGTGTAAAAATATATAAAACCATGACACTGAACGACATGGATATATCAATTGTATCTTTATCTTTACTGAAAAATATTTTCGCTCTTAATCGGAAAATATTATAGCTTTCAACAGAGCTCGGGGAACTGTCACATTTCACAAGCTTGACACGATTCTTCACGTTTTGGTTGGGTCGTTTATGTGTCAATTGTAAGACCGACATAAACGAATTTAGTCCATGCCGGGTCTAAGAGATTGTCAGCTCTGTCCGAATACGGCCTCGGGCGGTACGTATTGTGCAAATAGAGTAAATCCGGTAAGCGCCCGCGGCACCACGCATTAAAGGTTTCATACCCGTATTACAGTTACAGGTGAAGTGGTCGCCCATTGAAAGGCAGGAAGTAAATTTCAGTCTTATTGCGCGCTCATTCTGGTTTATCCGGAAATAATGGCCTGCTTTTGTAGGGAATGTTGCGTAAAAATACTACATAGAATGCGTATTAATGTTTCCAGTGTAAAAAACTTTGTAACGCAAAAAAGTTCGGGACGCCTTTTTTGGTAAAAGCGTTTTTTTTGTAACGTTTATTAGCTTTCTTAAATCCGGATGGTATTTTACTTAGTTGCTCCGTTAAATGTGATAATTCTGTTCAGCTATTTTATTTTATTAACACGGTTGCATGCTCGCCCCCGCTTTATCTGTTTAACGTGTCCAGATTTTATGTATCTATATTATAGCGAATGAAATGAAACTAGTGACCGCCCCGGCTTCTCATGGGTGCAATGTATTATACATTAAACCTTCCTCTTGAATCACTCTATCTAGCAAGATCCGTTAAGTAGTTTTAAAGATCTAAGCCTACATAGGGACAGACAGACAGCGGGACGACTTTGTTTTATATTATGCAGTGATGACACGAAATTAGTATGTAAGGGAAAGTGGCACCAGTGACCGAGAAAATAAGGAGTGGTAGTTTGACATGGTATGGGCACATTATGAGAAGGAATAAAGTTCATGTAACTAGAAGAGTGATGAATGTGAATGTGGTTGGAGGGTGTAAAGTTAGAGGAAGACCGAGAAAGATTTGGATGGATTGTGTGAACAATGATAAGTCTGCGTAAGGGCTCAGTGTTGAGATGACCGCTGATAGAGGACAGTGGAAGGAAAGGACATGTTCTGCTGTCCCCACCTAGTGTGAGATAAGGGCAGGAGAAATAAAAATAAGAAGAGTATTAGCGAATATAAATTTTCAACACTTAATATTTTCCTGCTGCTAATTATTCGGAGCAATGTTCATTGACAATTAAACTCTATTAAACAAATATCGTTAACATTAAAACATCCGTTGCACCATAATGGTGCCTCCTTTACAATAGGCGATATCTTTCATATAAAGTTTGTATGTATGGATGGATGTTTGTTACTCTTTCATGCAAATACTACAGAATGGATTCTAATGAAAATTTACAATAATATAGCTTATACATCAGAATAACATATAGGCTTTAATTTATATACATATTTTATGTATATTTGTCTTTCTGTCTGAATGTTAACGCAGACGTTATCGCGGGCAGCAGCTAGTAAGATATACTTTCTAATTGACCTAAGCTTTAGCAATTACCAAATACCAAACATTAGAATTGGAAGCGGATGCGTTCCACACTCGTGCCTAATGGTGTCATTCGCGCTGGCCGAATATTAGCGAGAAATAAAAAAAAAAGGCAGCGTAAATCAAAATAATCGGAGGCGCTCGGTGTATGTGTGAAATTCCATACGAGAGGGTATGCGACGGGAGAAGGGAGGGGGGGGGGGGGGGTCTTGAAACTCATTACCGGCACGTGACACGGGCCCACCGCGCCCCTCCGCGCTACATCGCCAATGAGTTATTGAGTGTCCTGCGGCCTCGCGCGTCGTAGCTTCGGATTCAACGGGCGGATGTTGGGAGGTCAGTTCGTTTCGAAATTGTCACCTCGAACCATTCCGAAAGCTTCGCGACGTCACAAGTACGTCACTAATGTCTAAAAATGTGTAAAAAAATAGATAAAATTACACTATAAAATTAATATCCTTTGTAAATTACAAATATTGTATTTATGAATTTATCCGCGTCAGTATGATTGTTTTAATATATCCAACCGTATAACGGCTCTGAAGCACACCATGTATGGGATGAATTTTGTGTTGTAGCCTTTCGGTTAACATCATAGAAGGGTTAAAATAGCTTTAACGAAATTGCTGATTTTTTTGCCGCTGAATTGCTGAATTTCTAAAACCAACATACCTTTACAGAAAAGGATTCTTTATAGCTCTTGGACAAAAATGAAGGAAAAAAAAACAGCTTTTCATAGTTCTCCACATTTAACGTGAAATTTAAGATCGATTCTTTCCACACATATGTTTGTACATGTTTTTGGACTTAGACCTCCATTAGAGCTGAAGTTGTAATTTTTAGAATATACAAGACTTAGTTTTTCATCGCTGTAACATATAATAACTAAAAGTATGTCCATTTAATTGTTTTTGGCTCTTGTCCTCTACCCAATTACCCAATGATTTAGTATTGTGTTTGTCAAAGATTTTTCTAAGTGCTCGTATTATTTTAGACAAGTTAGGAATCTTAGCCATAAACGCGGGATTGGGATAGTTTTTATGATTTTATTATTATGATATTTTTTTTACGGTGATAGGGCCACGCAGCAGCCTCCGCTGTTACACAAATGTGCAGGCCGGTCCGGGTAAGTACCACGACCTCACAGAAAACCAGCGTAAAGTGGAAGAATGACAAATACTTTCGCGTTTCGTCTGGTGAATGAGGTAACCGGAACCCAATTTTCAAAAGGTTGTCGTCGCATCTGTAACCCTCGGGTGTAGCAGATGTCCATGGGCGGCGGTATTCACTTACCATCAGGTGAACTGTCTGCTCATTTGGCAACTATTCACATAAAAAAAAATATGAATATACGACATGCTTTCAAAGTAAGGTCAAATAACATAAGCCAGGGTTCGTCGAAACATGGTTCACTTTTTTCCCGCAATTATGAAAATGGATTAAGTACTAGTTATAACTTTTAATATGGCCCCACGAAACCTATTTCTCTTCATATTTAACACGTATCTAAACTTAAACACAAATATAAAAGCAAATAAAGTATAGTTTGAAACTTTTGACACTTTGGAACTATATGAACAGGATGAAAGCTTGCTTACTTCCTCAGGGGTAAAGAATATAATAATAAGGAATATTCTAATAAGTTGGTCATACAAGCATACGGATATAACTTCAGCAAGGACAAGGACTAACCTAACCTTCTTAAATAAACCCGAGGACCGAAAACGCAGGCGTTCATCAAAGAGGCTGGCCCAACACGCCTCAAGTGCTTAATCCTCGGAACAATTAGTCGAGAGCGGGAATTCACAGCACGTGAACAACGAGAGCTGTCTGCCGCCGGCCCATTGTTAATTGCGTTTGATTGATGACGCAATACGAAACGTCAAATTAACGGCGCGCGGTAGGAATCCGCGAGTCGGTCGAAGCTGGTTTCCCGCCAAACGCCCGCCGTTTCCCGCCAAAAGCGCGCCGTATTTTTCTAATTGAATCACGCTTGATTTATCGTCGGTGTGATGATGTATCATTCTTTCAACGGCAGCCGCGGCGCCCCACGGGCTTGCGGGGCAAATTATCGCTACAAATGTTCACATCCGCGCTTTTAACTGCCGCACGTACCCTTGCCACGTCCTCCCCTCGATACGAGCTTTTTTATTAAACGACGTAATCGATTTTTTTCTGGACAGCCGTGGAATAAGAACGGTTAATAATAGTTGCTATATAAACGCACGGTTGGCCTGATTCGGGCGTGTTACGTTGAGGAGCGATTTATTGTTTTATCTTGAGTGTTCTGAGAATTAAATTCAGTTAATTAAATGCTTAAATTTTTTATTTATTTATCCTGTATTTATTCACCTTAAGTTTAGGACTACAATGGGTGGAGTTAATACCTATTGATATTTTCTACCAGCCAACCATTGTCATGGTTAAAATTAGATATCAGGTGATAGAATAAGAAGGAAAAAAGTGCGTGTGTTCAAATGATGTACGAAATTATACTTCATTAGCGTAACTAAAGAAAAATAACAAAATAATTTATCTATTACTTATATCACATCTGTGAGGCCGTGGTACTCTCCCATACAAACCTGCCCAATCGTGCAACACCAGAAGCTTTTGTGTGTCCCTTTTTACATTTATTTTCACAACATAATATAAACTTATATTAAAAAAAAAATGGGTTCCCTTAAGTATCGTTATACGATTGAATATTTATAAAAATCATAAGATTTAAAGTATATTTAAAGCAAATTAAATCTTTACGAACGCAATATGGCAAGTCTTCTCGCTAGATTGATATAAGGATTAAAATAATAATAAGGCTAAATGATAATTATATAAAGTTAGTAATACCATACAGTTTTGAATGGAACTTAATTTTTCAATTAGAAATGCGAAGTATTGGTCGAAGTTTAGCCCACTGTATCATAACACACTTCCATTACGAATACTCTGGAATATTCCACGTATCTTACTGAAGGGTACTATTAACGCAAAGAGGAGGAAAGTAAGAATTATTGTGATTTCTCCAACAAATGCATTCTCTGTGTTTCCCGCTCGCCGTAGTGGTACTGACGCTTTCAGAGCAGCGTCATCAGCTAAGAGTGACTTCTTCCACCCGCTGGGCACATTGTGATAAGCGCCATTGTTCTAATCCAGTTCACAGGTGTGAGAATAGTGTGGTGACCGTACCCCAACTACGGGTTTACATTAATACCAAAAGGAAACATTAATTTAAATCTTTTTAAAATTTTTTTTTTGTTTTGTTAACAGATGAAAAATCAGATATTAGATACGTGATTTTTAATCTGTAAAAAAGTAATGTGTTTACGATGAATAAGGGTGAACTGGTAATGAAAAATGTTGTCCAAAAGAAAGCAACGATTGCAAACATATGTATAAACAAGACTACTACATATAATTACCACTTAGTTTAATCTGGGCCGTGATAGCTCAGTGTTGTGCTCAGTGTTGTGTGTGTGTTGATAGCTGAGTGCTCGCCTTTAATTTAATATACTCGTGTGACCAAAGTACAAATCCCGGTGATGGCCCGAATGAACTTGTTGATTGCAATTTTAAGCGTTGACTTATCACGTGCTTAGTACTCAAAGAAATCATCGCGATAAAGCCTGTAGTATATTTTCGACAAAATTAAAAAATAATTCGAAGATACGTGAAGTCTGCTAATTCACGGTGGTTTTTTTTATGTGAAAAGTTGCCAAGCGAGCAGACGGTTCACCTGATTTAAGTGAATACCGCCGCCCATGGACATCTGTTACACCCGAGGATTACAGATGCTTTGAAAACCTTTTGAAAATTGGGCTCCGGCTACCTCACTCACCAGGCGAAACGCGAAAGTATTATACTTCCACTTTACGCCGGTCTTCTGTGAGGTCGTGATACTTACCCGGAAAGCTAGCCCATTCGTGCAACAGCCGAGGCTGCTGCGTGGCCCTACCACCGACATTATAGGTTATGCTCTAATACTCTCTGAACACAGGAGGCCATGGCCCAATTGTGGTGAATGTATATGCTGTTACTTTATTTTATAATTTAAAATAAAATTATGTAAGTCAGATTTTCGGCTAAAATATTTTAATGGATTGAGAGAGATGAGTGGACTTGTAGTACGCATGATGACAAAATTTTTGTGGCGTGGTATATTTCTATTAGAGCCAAAAAGCAGCAAGAGCTGCATCCATGCTTTTAAATTCCTAAAAGGCGGATTGGTTGTTATTTATTAGAAATAGTACTGACAATATGGGATTGTTTTTAATAATTTGTGCAACACCTAATATACAGCCAGTTCATTACTGACTGTTTATTAAGTGTTGCACAAATTATCGCTCGATGATTAGCTTAAAGAAAGTGTAAAAACATATTTTTTCTCCATTGAAAACGGTGTTTGTTAAGGGCCAGCACCATAGTGAATCAGAGGCGGGCGGCTCACCCGCGAGGGCTGGCACAATGCGCGAGTGATTTCCGCACCGCTGGGCGGTCACAAAACGCGCGGGCGCCACGTCTGCTACGGCGGCCTTGCGAGCTTTGAGCTCCCTCGCCTGCGCTACGTCTAATGTGGCCCCGGTAGGGCTGCCAGCCGCGAGAAAATCCTAGTAGCTTTTGGTGACCAATGGGAATTTTAATACGTAGGTATGCAGTTGTTCAAGAAGTATTGAGTTATGTTACACTGTCTTTTATCAGCTTGCCGTGGATATATAAAAAATATTGGCGTAAAGCAAAAGTGTTCAAACTTCGAGTTGCTTCAACATGATCTTCAACAGGCCCATAACATTTTACTCTTGGTCTGTCGATATATCGATTTGTTTATATATTTATTACGCGAGAAGATTACAAACGAGCAAGCGGTTCTTTTAAAAGAGCGGACGCAGTCTCTAACCAGACGAAACGCAGAAATATAATATTTCCACTTCGCGCGGGTTTAGTGTTTTAGCGGGTTAAGTATAAGAATTAAAAAAGTAAGATACCTACTATTGCCCACTGCTGGGAAAAGGCTTCTTCTGTACAGATGGTAACAGGACAATTTCATTGGTGCTGGTACCGGGAATTGAGCTCTGCTTCATTGAGTATATTCAATTTAAAGCAAGCGCCCGCACACTGAGCTATCACGGTTCAAAGAATGAATAACATTCTAACATATAAAAACTTTTAAGTTAAACGACGGTTTTATTTTATGTTTTTTTTTTGTTAAATTTTTTTTGTTAGTATTGTATTGTTATCTAAATTAAATGTGTGTACCAAATTTCAGATCAATCTGACAACGGTAAGGTGCTTAAATTTCAATTTCTAATTTTGACCCAAATAAGTAAACAAACAAATTCCGTATGGGTCGAGCTAAATAAAACCGTTTAAAAATTCAATGGTTTTTTAGAATGCTTCGTATTAAGTATCTAATGCTTTGCACAACCCTAGTGTAATGTGGGCAAGCGTCGCGGCTCCCTGCCGTGTCATTGTGTGTTCACGCCGTGTGACACGGCGACGCCTTTCAATGAAATTTTTGTTTTGCACAGGCCTTAATTATCTTGATTAGGAGTGTTGGATTCATCAACCAGTCAGATTACAGTTTAATTTTTGTTCAATGTGGAGAGCATAAAATGAAAGGGATACTTATGCAATGTTTAAAGTGATAATTTAGTCGTTAGGACCTCCATTTTACGTTTGTAGTAGTGCGTTGAAATTTTGATAGATATTTATTTATTTAAAGTTTTACACAAAAAATAAACGTTGTGTATAGGCGGATTTAATGCCTAAGGCGTTAAATGCGCCTATAAGCCCTCTCCTAAGGCCTATCCTAAGGCATTCTCTCCCAGTGAACCTATGGGCAACGCAGAGACAAAGGAGGTAGGTGTATAAAGAAGACATTCAAAATCAAAATTTCTTTATTCAATAAAGCCTTGTTTTAGGCTCTCTTTGAAATAAAAAAACTACCACTATCACCAATGAGGCTCTTCTAACGCCTACCTATTGACTTGAAAACAGCGTCTGGCCAAAATTGTACTCCATACACGACTAAACCTATACTTTGTATTAGATTAGGAGCTGGACATGGCATCATTGGAATAAGAGCACATTGTGGATAGATAGCAAGTAAACGTAGGATTTTTTGACTAGGGAAAGACGTGCAGATTGTAGACTGTGACTTCTACGTAATTACGTTAAAATTGGAGTGGCTAACGGGGTTCTTGTTGGAGCTAATATTCTGTGGTGATTATGCGGTGTCGAGCCCCCATCTAGAAAAGTTATTTACAAAGCTGACTCTTTACACTGTGAGCACGTTTGGCATTACACCATGAGCGTGCAAAGCTACCTGTGCTTACATCAGCAGATGGTTTAAGTTTTCAACTGCTTGATGCACCACATTATAACGATGACGGCGCAGCTCGACAAATCGTCATTAGCTACCGTAGGCACTATCTAGGATACAATGCAAAAAAGGCTGCATCTCATTCCAATAAGCTGACTTGTATCGTCACATCCGACGCGGTCTATATGAGTTGTGATCAGGTTTGCAGACCAAGCAACGGTGAGAAGTCTTCTTGTATCTTGTATTAACTGATGTTTTTGCTTTCAGTCCCGAGACTATTAAAGCTTCATCTGACGCAGAACCGGTGGGCTAGCCAGAACCCACGGGTTTGGGCCCTCCGCTGTGGGTAGGGCCGCGCATGTGCTCATGCGTGCGTTTAACTACGACATGTCATCTAAGGGCCATCGAAGTTGCGGTGCGGACCGAGACCCCCGATGGCCGTCGACTGTGTTTTTAGCTAATCGGTGGCTGGGGGCGGTGAGAACCGCCCTGGAACGCGGGTGTACCTTGTGTACGCGTTGTGTTGGTCTCGCCGTGCTCGGAGGCGAGGGCGAACTATTGTGTTTGTTGTTACACTAGCTGTGGGTGTAGTGTTATCCGGCGGGACCCCCGGCGGTGGGTCCGGCGTATCTAAGTCCCCTTCCTCGACCGGGTCGATGAGGACGTTTCGCGGGCAACGCTTGTTGACGTTCGCGTTTGTGTCGGGTTGGTAATTTGCTGCGCTTATCACCAGAGGGTTGGTATGATGTTCGGCTCTATCGAAGAACCGTTTGATCAGGTCTTTAAAATATTCGCGAATCTATAAATTTCGCGAAACTTATTTTGTACTATTTGCAGCTTGTACAAGCGAGTAGGGTGCGTGTGGGCGAAGATCATGCATGCGTAGGAGGATAGGTCGTACGCAGGTCTTATATAATAGTAATTTGTGCCTTAAGGGCATTTTACTTTTAGCGTTAGTTAAATTGTGTAGCCGGCCGGAGACGAACGCGGCTCTATTACGAACGTTATTAATGTGCGTAGTAAATGACATACGCGAGTCGAAAGTGACTCCTAAGTATTTGACCTTTTTCTCCCAGGGGAGCGGTTGGCCATAAAGGGATATTTGACCCAACTTTCTGCATTGGCGAGGACCATTATAAAGATGTGACGGGTAAGTACTTCGTGTGAAGTGAATCGCCACACTCTTTTCGGGATTTATTTCTATTCTCCATTTGCGGAACCAATCGCCGAGGCCGTCGGCGGCGCTTTGGAGTCGAGTAGTTAGTATTCTAAGGTTGCGGTCTGAATAAAAGAGCGCGGTGTCATCCGCGAAAAGCGCGAGATTGACGTGGGGGTCTTTGGGTATGTCGCTCGTGTAGAGCGTAAAGAGCAAAGGTGAGAGGCAGGAGCCTTGTGGTACGCCGGCCGTGAGGCGGCGGCTTGTGGAGAGGGTGCCCTCGACTCTATATCGAAAAGAGCGATTCAACAAAAAGGCCCGGATGGTGTGTACGAGCCTATCTGGCACTTTGAGTGTGTATAGCTTGTAAAGCAAGCCGTTGTGCCAGACCTTGTCGAATGCCTTTGCGACATCGAAGAAAAAAGAGCCCTGTACTGATATGTTTCGGGTGGTTTAGGCCTTTTAGGATGTGCTCCGTTAGGCGGTATAACTGGTCGGGACAAGAGTGTCTAGCTCGAAAGCCGAATTGTTCCGTCGGCAGAAGACCGTTGGAAAATACGTGCTCTTTGAGCCTGTTTAATAAGAGCCGCTCGTAGAGCTTCCCCAGGCAACTGAGGAGGCTGATGGGACGATAGCTAGAGGGCTGGTTGGCTGGTTTATTCGGCTTGCGAATGCCGATAACCGTGGCTTGTTTCCAGTCGTCCGGGAAGGAGCAACTGGAGAGTAGAGTGTTGAAAATGGTCGCCAGTAAACAGATAAGCGGCCCAGGGAGAGCTTTGAGAATTTTGTTACTGATATTATCTGGGCCCGGGGCGGATTTCGGTTTTAAATTTTTAATAATACCTTGGACCTCTTCGGGGGTCACTGAACTTAAAGGATTGCCTTCCGGTGGAAGCGCAGCCCTAGTCTAAATTGCGCAGCCCTAGTCTCGATAGCGCAGCCCTAGTCTCGATACGGTGAGAAGTTCTTACAGTTAAGTAATTGACTCAAGGCCACATCAATTCAATGGCCTGTATAAAGTTAAAAATAAACTGGTTGTCCATTGTCACCGCTAAGTAATCGTTATACATGGTGAGAAATTAATAAGTCCAATACTGTGTTAACCAGCACCCGAAACAAAAGAATAGTTCCATTTAACACTTAATGTTCAATAGTTTGGTAAATTTATATATAGATTGATCCAAGATTCAAAACAAAGCTTCTTAAAATTTTATAATGTTATCATTTCTATTATATCTACCCATTCTATCTAGACAAGCTATAAATATGCGAAAGTGGTCGGTTAAAATATCATCAACGCTTAACATTCTAATCATATTTATAGCTTGTTTAGATAGAATGGATAGATATAATAGATATGCCACTATGCGTTGAATTTTGCATGTGATTTATATACAATCTATCTCTCGGTTTTAGGTGACATTTGAAATTGAAAAATCATATCTTGAAAATGTTTGCGACGAAAATCCACATTTCATTTGAATACCATACTTCCTTGTTATTTTAAGAATTGTAATAGGCTAGTATCGAGTAAAAATAAACCCGACCATTACATCATGCGTGCAGGTTTTATTTAAATATTAGGTTCTGTTATTATCATGTTTGTTCATTTTCACATTTTGTATTTTTTATTATTTGGTATTTTTTTTGTTATAAGAACTTTATCAGCACTGTATTTGCAAAAATATTCCTCTGTAAATTTTCACGGATATGAAAAAACAAAGGTGTTGGAAAGCTTATTGAAGGGAAGACGAACGTGTATTTAAATAATAATTTATCAATTATTCATAGCATAAAGCATGTCTGGAAAAATAATCACCGTTGTCTTTGAAACCATTATCCGAAAGTCTGTTCTAAATATAAAATAATAAACAATATCGAAACGATCATTAATCTGACTGAAGGGAAACTGCACTCGTTTGTGTCAGCGTTAAAATTTTACACGGAAAACGTACGACAAACGCTTAACGCCCGTGGAAATTACATAAGTTTCTATAACGGTGCATAAAATTGGCGCCAATTGGTGTGCTTCGGTGGCAATTATGTTTCAACCGACGCGGAATGGTAGACGGTGGGAGGCAATGTGTCGTGACCGGCCGACGCCACGCTCGGGCGGTTATGGGGCTGTTAATTCCCACATAAGAATTGTTGTACATACTCTACGAGGTGTGTTTGCGTTCGGAAGTAAGCGCGATTGGTTTAATGAGAATACTATAAATTAATTTTTGCGTCGTTAAACTCGAATGCAAATAATTAGTGACATTTTTATGAACATATTTTTATTGATACAATCACACTACGTTTTTTCCCATGTGTGGTTAGTGTGAATATTTATTCACAGACATGCATATTACCGCTTACTAACACTTAACCAGTATATGAAATGGGCAATAAATGTGTACCACTTCGTTTTATTCTTAATGTTTTTTTTTTTTCGAATTATGTATAAACTATTGCATTATGTTAATATTTCAATTGAAATAAGTACTAATCTATACTACGACCATTAACGAATATAATTTATAAATAAGAAGTTCACAAACATTAAAGATTTTTGATTTACAAAAAACCATAACCGTTGTTATTACGAATGTACTAAATACGCATATGTTTAGTTGTATTTTAAAAGATATCTTTAAGTCGGCTATGGGAACTCAATCTACTAATGTATATTCAGCGTCAGCTGAAAAACATTAAGGCGCAGTCACACGTCACGTTTTATAACCGTCACAATAAAAAATGCCAATAAAGACATAAACCGCGCATCTCCTGCGGCTAACCTAATGATGCCATTTACTTTGATACCGTTCTAAACAAATAAAATATAAAACGCGGGCGGTCCATTATACCCGGACCCGTGAATTACAATCGTAACAGGTGGATTTTCTATTTTTTGTACGGTCCGTAACAGCTGTTCCGCTATGTTTAAGCAATTATTAACATCGTTTAATATTCAACCTGCTGCTAGTGCGGATCTTTCATTAAAAATCAGTCTTCCGTTTGCTTTTTAGGGTTCCGTACCCAAAGGGTAAAACGGGACCCTATTACTAAGACTCCGCTGTCTGTTTGTCTGTCACCAGGCTGTATATTATGAACGGTGATAGTTGGACAGCTGAAATTTTCACAGATTATAGAATTAAATATTTCTGTTGCCGCTATTACAAAAAATACTACAACTGACAAACAGAATAAGAAAATATTTACGTAGGGCTCACACTTAAATATGAAGAAGAAACCTTTATTCACGGTTTAAAAACAAATGAATACATACAAAACTTAAAAATAATAATGTAACTACAGAAACTTAAAATAAATGTAAACATAAAAAAAAAAAACAAACAAAATAACAACAGTAAGTGACGGTCTGTGTAGCAGCATAAGACCGTGAAACAGACGGGACTCGGTAAGTCCCGCATGCAACAGTGAACTTGCAATATCATTGACGTTTTTATAGATAATGGTACGAAACGCCTTAGTGCGCGAGTCCGACTCACACTTGTCACTTTTTTGTATGTGATTAATTAACAATCGTATTGGGAGCATATGCTACATTAAGGATATGTTTTCCGATTATTAGTCTTACTGTGGTAGTGCCACACATTTATGTCACATTAAGGATATACTCCTATCCGATGCTCCTTACCAGTTATTAGTCTTACTGTGGTAGTGCCACACATTAGATTTTTCTGGTTTACGAAAGGTCCGAGTACTTCTGGGGAAGTAGCTTTCGTTGCGACGAAGTAATACACTTCACCGCATCTGATCATTAAGCTTCTGATACATTTGATAGAGTACTAAATCTAAAAGTGAGCACTCGGCCACTGGGTTATCAAGGCCTTATCAGAGTATATAGGTAAAAGTGGAAGTTTTTCAGTGTGAAGTTCCAGTTTGCTTTCAAACTTCTACATTTTAATGTCAAATTAGGTGTTCCGATTTTGGGTAATCGAAGCACAGCATTACAGTGCTGATATCTCCAGGAGAACAATGATCTATGTTGCCAAAACAGTTGTCTACGAGGAACATTTAGTTTCAGAATTCACGCTATGTCAAGAGCAGTGCTGATTATTATTAGCTTTCTCGAAAATTTGTCTACAAAGGGTACCTTCCAGTGAACAACTCATTAAGTTGTTTGGACCTTTACTGCCGGTCGTATGAGGAAGCTCAAAATCGCTCAGTGAGCTATGGGGCAGACTATGCTCGGTATTTCTCTGCGTCATAGAGTTCGCAATAAAAACATTCGTAGTACAAAAAAGGTTAGAAAGCTGAAGTGATAAGGGGCCGACCATATAGCTAGAAGAACCGATAACCGATGGGGAAGCAAGGAAAGGAAGAAAGGTCAAAGGCTATTTGGAGGGACGACCTGTACAAGCACAGGCAGCCGGATGCAAGTGGCTCAGGATCGTGGTTTTGTCTTGTAGCGGTCTGTGGAGGAGGGCTATGTTAATTGGCATCAAACAAGTTGAAATGATGATGATAAGGTTCGAAACACGCTACCTATTAGAAAATGTATATACATCTTTAAGCTCTACAAGTAGAGTCTTATAAAAATTGTCAACAGCGCCATTAGTTTAAATCCTCTGCAAAAGTATGTCCTATCCCCAAAAGAATATATAAGTTGGAAAAGAAAATGGAATTGTTTCCCCATTTAATGTACCGTGTAAAATACAGCTAAGTTACATCGTGCAGTATCACTCACTCTATCGGAGGCGGTGTCGTGGCTCGCCGACACCGCAGTGCGCTGACTCACACCGCATAGTTCAGGAGACTGCTGACATGTATTTGCATGACATTTGTTTACTACGTACTGAAGTAATATTTAATTAATATCATTATTTATCCTAACGTGCTCCCCGTGATTTACTTTAAGGTGAGGAATAAGTTGGGGGAAGTTTAGTGTCTCTACAGGTTTCACGTAGCATGCAGTTAGTTATCATGTAGTTTCTGACGAGTTCCCGGTTACCAGCTTGCGAAGTAGATGGAAACTACAAATTTTATATCTTCAAACGTGTCCGCTTTTTTCAACCCTGTCACGTCTCAATTTATGCCTATCTATTAGATATGTGAATCGATATAGAAAATAATTTGCTGTACGCTGTCATTTTTTACTGGCTCCTGGACTATTTTCCTGCAAACTCAGCTCGCGATCCTATCAACGGCGTCAATTGCCCGTGCCAAATGCCACTTCCTGATCGAGCATCCCCCCTCAGCCCCGCGCCCGCCCGTGCGGCGCCCGCGGAGCGAACAAACGCCTTATCTCCGCTAAGAAGCAGCACCCTGAGACGTGATTGAACGTTTCCGTTGATAACGGGAAGCGGACGATCTCGATCTCGATACGGCCGCATCAGCTGGATGGCGCGGTTGATAATGAAGGCAACGGTGAGGAAGGGATGTACAATGCGATTCAAATAAGAATAGGAATGACCTAGGGTCATCCTGCGTCTTCACAGCTGTTAATTCAAACTAGTTAGACCGGGTGAGCAAAACAGATATTTTTGAAATAATAATTATTAACAGATAATTTTTTTATTTAAAGTATGATAGACAAAGTTTTAAAGTGTTGCTTTCCCTTATAAAAAGAACATGTATTTATTTAGGTATTTTAATTATTCCACCGATGCAACATGCGAAAAATAAAACAAGTACCTGTTAAGTTAGAGAGGTATTTTTTGAGAAAATACTCCTATGTTTGGACATTAGAATATTTTCTACAAAACGTTTAATATTACGCAAGCAAGAAATTGGTTTCTTGTTTGCATAATATTACACCTTTTGTCATTCGACGTGTGTAGATGATTATCGCATTATTATTTAATATAAGTACTTCTTTTATTTTATCTAAACCCGCGAGAACGCAAACATACTCAACTGGACATACGTTCAAAGTCGAAAGAGCCGCGATGACGTACGCGCGTCGTTTACATCGAAAACAAATGACAGTTTGAAAGTGGCCGGGCAGCGATCGATTATCGTTTCACGGGTTAATTGCGATGCCTTCGAACAAAAAGTCTGCCTCGTCGGCCTGCTGCCGCCTAATGACCCTATAAACTCTAAATTATACGCTCCGCTAGTTCGGCCATCCGTCGTCTTCCCGATGCACGTCGGACCCCGTCCACGCACACCGCACCAGGTGAACTGGATAGAACATGCGTTCACATGTCTTAATTATCTGCTATAATTATTATCGACTGTAAAAGGCGATATTTTCACGCGCTATTGAATTGTTATGGAGTTTCTTAGTGCAGATCTTTATCTATTGCAAACACTTTTGTGTTTTCTTATACGTTATTTCAATATCGCTAACTTTTTAACTTCACATCTACGATTCTCCGTGACGTAATTTTTATCAGAAAAATATTATTTAATTGAGTTGGAATAAAGGTAATTAAGTCCAGCACCACAAGTTACATTATTTATTTTATATTCTACCTACAATAAGAGTGAATTAATCTATTTTTTTTATATCCGAATGTGGCAAGCGAGCCTGCGGTTTACCTGTAATAATCGCCGCCTATTGACATTTGCACGTGAGAGATATTATCAAATTTAAATGAAGTATTTATATAAAGCCGTAACATTTATGTTACGGCTTTATCACTGCCGGTTGTCAGAGGTGGGGCAGAGTGGGTTGTTTGTTACTGTGTGTTTAAAGGAGAGCTTCGTCTATAGTGGGGGTCCTTTAACTTCCGAGACTTGTGGAGACGTTACTCTGCGCACTGTCGGTTATATCTGACTCTGAGTACCCATTACCTACCTATTAAAGATAAGTATCTTTGAAATTAAATTGATACTAGTATATTGATATATGGTCTTGTATATGTACACATATATTTTTATTTTTAAATAAATAATTTTCTGACACACGCATTGTTTCAGATGCGTTGCTACATTTTAATAAAATGGGCCCCGGCTACCTCACTCACGAGAAGAAATGCAGAATTACAACATTTCCAATTCACGTCTTCCGTTCAGTCTTCTGTGAGGATTTTTATTTACCCGGACGGACCTGCCCATTCGTGCAACAGCGAAGACTGTTGCGTGGCTCTACCCCAGTTTAATTTAATTTGAAGCAATTAGTAAAACGTTCTTGGGTGGTCAATTAAATTGATCACACAAACGAATAAGTTTTACTTTGCTATAGAAAAATTAAATGAACATTAAGACCTTACGTCTCCATCAATGAAGGACCTTTATATATTCAATGTTTAGTAGTCATATTCTATCACTTCTTTTTGACAATGTACATACCTTTTTACTAAAATCAATCGTATGATCCCCCACGTTAACGTAATCTCGTGCCAAATGGCGCATCACAGCCGTGGCATATTGAAAGTGGCTGCCTCCTGACAAAGTTGTTTTATCGGTGGCGATAAGAAAATACCCATACTCGAGTTAGGGATGGGACGGATACGTTGTAGCGTGTCTTTCTTAAACGTTTTCCTTACTTTAAGTTGTCATAATATCTTAAATTTATATAACGCAAAGTTAAATAAATTTAAATTTATTTAAACTGTGCCTATATTGAAAAAAGAGATAAAAAAAATAGTGAGAAAGAGAGTATGGAATATGAAAATTTGTCATTGTCCTTATTGCTGTTACAAAGAATTTAAGTCGTGTAAACTTTCGCTTCATAATTTTTATGATATTCACAGATTTTTTTTAAGCGGGTTATTCAAAATTTCAGTCGATATTTGGTGAAGTCAAATGTCGCAATTCTGTGTATTCGTGTTTCAGCAAAATTGTATTTTGACGTGATCATATCCATAACTACATAAGTGAAAGACGATCGTTAACTACGGTAACAGACTCCAATATTGATACATCATTATTATCAATATTGGATTCTCATTAGATTGAATAAGACAAGTGCAAACATTTTGTTCATATGAAGGCTCAGAAACGACAGAGCTTACACAACTCTGTAAAATAATAAAAAGTCTTATGAAGGACAGTTACTAGCAGTATGTATATATTGGTAAAGGTTTACTAAATCTGAATATTCTGCTTTGAACCTATAAGAAATCCATGTCTGCAGAATGGATCTTTCTTTTTGAAGATTTTTTTTTTATGCGAAAAGTTGCCAAACGAGCACACGGGTCACCTGATGTTAAGTGAATACCGCCGCCCATGGACCTCTGCTACACCCGAGGGTTCCAGATGCGTTGACAACCTTTTGAAAATTGGGCTCCGGCTACCTCACTCACCAGACGAAACGCGAAAGTATTTGTCACACTTCCACTTTACGCCGGTCTTCTGTGAGATCGTGGTACTTACCCGGACGGGCCTGCCCATTCGTGCTACAGCTGAGGCTGCTGCGTGGCCCTACCACCGTATTAGATTATAACTTTCCACCGTACATTTCTACACCGTAGATTTCCTGATAAAGTAAAAAAAATAGTAAAGTAACAGCCTATACATGTCCCACTGCTGGGCAAAGGCCTCCTCTATACAGAGGGTGTCAGGGCATAGTCCACCACGCGGCCCCACTGCGGATTGGCGGAATTCACATATCTTCGAAAATAATTTTTTTTGTTATTATTTCGAAAATATGCAGGTTTCCTCACGATGTTTTCCTTTACCGCAAGCACGTGATAAGTCAGCACTTAAAGTTAAAAACTTCATTGGTGCCGGCACCGGGGATCGAACTCAGGTTGCTCGAGTATAGCTATTTGTGTGACCCTCAGATATTTTTTTCGGTTATTGGTGTTTGTCTGCGTGAAATTGGTGTACGTAAAACGTCTTTACAACACATAATAATATTATCCTACAGTAAGGGCAGTGCTTTTAAATAAGAAGTAAATAAATAATTGCATGTTTTAAATTCTACCCTTCGTTTGCAAGAACCCCAGATTGGGCGAAGGCCTCCACCAAAGATTCTCATTTGTGTCGATTTTGCGTTTAATACTTGATTAAATTATCATTAATTATCATTAATTCTTGCTCTGGAAACACCATTTGGTTTATTGGAAGTGTTTTATTCTGTGTAGTGGTTTTACAGTTAGATCTAGTGACTCATCCTCAAATTCAACATTGACCAGTTTTATAATAAAAAAAATTTAAACAGTGTTGGTGTATGCAATGTTCTGAAACATTAACATTGAATTTTATGCTAGCGGATTTGACTCACAGCTACATGCAACATAAGTTCCAATTTTGTTTTCAATTTTTAGCCTCTACGTATAATGTTATACTGAATAACAACTTTCATATTAAATGAAACTACTTTACGGATTTTATCGTAAAACGCGATAAAATCCGTAAAGTAGTTTCATTTAATATGTATAATATTCGCGTAAAATCAAGAAAACAACAACTTTCATTTTTAATTTCAGGCCTGTGAAAGGATATAGCATTTATTAGCTATTTAGCACTAAGCAGCGTTAAATAACACGTTATATGTGCTAAATATCGCGCAAGCCTAGTGCACTCATTGAAGTGGCGGCGTGGAGCGCGCGCCCGCGACTTAACCACGTCCCGCCCACACCGCTTTATGACTCTCCCACGAGATAGCTTCAGTGTGCGGATTTTACACTGATGTAACATTTTATATTTGCGTTGTTAAAAAAAAAAAACTAATACTCTTTTATTAGATTATTAGCTGTGTATCAATTAACTATATATAGTAAACGCGTTTTAACGAATTCTGAGGCGGTTAATTTTGATTTAAGGCCCTGATGTTTCGGCATGGGACGGATACAAATCTGGTGACGCCCTAAGTTTTGATCGTAGAGTGCATGATTACTATTAAGAGAACTATTCATTATTATTGTTACAATCAATACAACCTGATTAGCTTCGGGAATAGTGAAATTGTGTCTTGTGCTAGAGGGTGTGAGGTTGATCGAGTGCTATGCCCACAGAACTCGTGGGCACAGGACTCTGTAAAAGCTTTGCTTTGTTTGGGAGCTTAAAACGTTATGTAAAAATATTTTCTTTTATATTTATTTCATTCAGAGCCGTGATAGCTCAGTGTTCGGGCGCTCGCCTTTAATTCAATATACTCGAGCAACCTGAGTTCGATCCCCGGTGCCGGCACCAATGAAGTTTTTAACTTTAAGTGCTGACTTATCACGTGCTCCGCGGTGAAGGAAAACATCGTGAGGAAACCTGCATATTATCGAAATAATAACAAAATAAAAATATTTCGAAGATATGTGAAGTCCGCCAATCCGCAGTGGGGCCGCGTGGTGGACTATGCCCTGATACCCTCTGTATAGAGGAGGCCTTTGCCAAACAGTGGGACATGTATAGGCTGTTACTTTACTTTACTTATATATTTATTCGCTTATTGTTTGGTGATTATCATGGCCATGATAGTAGTTATCATAAAGCCGTAACTAGTGCTTTGCTTGTATTAAATTACAATGCTTTAGTTAATGCGTTCGATACTAAGACATGGATTAGCCGATTATATAATTTCAATTAGCCCATTAAA